GACATGACTTTTATGGATTTTAGTAAGCTGAAAATTAATACAATAATTCCGTGAAGAGGAAATTACCCGTTTTTTCGACTAGGAACATTAGACTGAAATAGAATTGAAAAGCCGGAGAATGATCATGTCATTCGAAACTGTGAGTTTAAATAACAATAAGATTTAGGTTTCGTCATAATGTTTCAAAATATCACGAATGAAATTTTAAGTTAAATCTATCCTTGGTCTTCATTTGATTATTCAATTTATATTATTCATCAGCAGCTATCATTTAATTTTTATCATTTATCATCTTAAAATATTCTCGGCGTGGTCAGGCTGATCAACTTCGTGTCTAAAAAACCCGAAGAGGTTCGAAGAAGGGCTTTCGGTTGATGTACGTAAAAGAGTGGAGGTAGAAGGTTTGAACATGTAGTCGTAAATAGTTTTACATAAACTTATTTAGTGAAAAACTAAACTAGTGAGGTCAAATTTTCATGTAAAATTTCGGCGACGAGGCCAACAAAATACGCTGTTGCCTTAAAAAACTGATGAAAAACTTCGCTCCGGGACATGAAGAACCACTGGACAAAACGTAAAAATTTTAACAGAATCTCGCACAGTAAAATTTATCCTGATATTGTCATTTTTTGTTTTAATTAAAACGATCACGTTACAACAGGATCGTGCTAATAAACTTATAAAAAGAGTCTAAGAGGTATTATTATTAACTCATAAAACGAGTTTATGAATATTAGGAACATGAAAAAAAATGAAACAGTCGCTTTTTATAACGAAAAAAATGTCTCTTGACTGAATTCAGCTTCATACATTTCTTTCTCTTTGATCTCCTTGTTGAGCCAGACAAGCAAGAAATTTAAATCTGTACCAAGAGCACCAAACTATTTTCATTTACCTTTTCACTAAAAAAAATTAAGTAGAAACATTATAATGTTTTTGCACGAATCTCAAAATTATCTTTTTGAATATAGATTTTTCATTTTGAATGCTTGGATATTGCTAACTGGAATCATTTTCTATTCATTTATATATCCATTAATTATTTGTATCGGTGCAAGGGCTTTTAATTCAACGGAGATTAATTCTTCACGGCCAGTGATTACACTCCAGCGTCTCTGCTGATTGTCGCCACCTTTTATCTCTTCGTTGCCGTGTGTTATTACACGAAACTCATTGATGTTAAATTCCGCGCGTGACGAATGACGGAAAATATTTAGAAAATTAATCCAGGGAAGCCGATATTCTGCATGCGATGGATGGATAGATTGGCATTATGACTAAAGATAAATTGGTATTATGACTACAAAAAACGCATGGATGTACTTATGAGAGTTTCGAAAGGAATCCTCGTTTCCAAAACGCCATTTAGGCAATATTTGTGGATTTACAGTTTACAGTAAATGATATTGGGAAAATTGGGATGATAATAATAATATCATCATAATAATAATGTAATTTCATTATTTATTAATTTTAAAAGTATTATTGTTGTTAACTAAATGAGACGAAAACAAGAAGCAATACAATTAATATAATGTAAACCATTCAGAGAGTAAATAAATAATATCACGTATATTATTCGGGTTCTTGATCAGAAAATTTACCAAATTATTGAAGAACTCATCTCCACGTTGACCAAATGATTTTAAATTCATGAAATATGGACTGTGGCCCGTTAAGATTAGAAACAATATAAAGTTGTATCCAATTACATGTCCAGTGACGATATCAATAAATGTAATTACTTTATTCAATTTCCGTATGCATTCAAGCATAAAACGTCGTATGTTCTTTAAAGCATCGTAAAAACATTTTTCGCTTAAAATAAATTGGTTCTACATTACATCGGAAAAGCTGCTTACCGGAAATGAATTAACCTGTGCAGATGAATGCATTCAAATGTGACATAATAAAACTATTAGCGAATATTTTATTGATGGCCATTTATTCTTGAACATTCCTAATGCCGTGTCTCAGCCACAATGCGGCCGTTGTTTCTAACATGTCTACATGGAAAACTCTTGTCAGCTAATTGGCCAAGGCTATATTCATAATATAATTATAATGTGATTGGATTTCAGCTAAACTCAATTACGCAAAGAATAATCTCGCTGTTGGAGGTTTACAAACAACACATGGAGACATGTGTAAAACACGTGTATGAATGTGATTTGTACCTTAGTCATATCCGTTAACTTATCATTTATTTCATTGTGTTTTTCCTTAAGTCATGAGCGAATACAATTGCTTTTAATTTAGCACGTGTACTACATGTAACATTATAATAACCAATCAGCAAATATAAACTCATGCTGCACACGCATAAGCTCGGAATAAAATTGTAATCCACAAGGCCCATTTGCTGCATCATGTTTTCTGGCCAGCTGTTTTCTATGTGTAATATAAGAATAGATTGTCTGAGTTTTGTTGTTTCATGGAAAGCTCCAAATTCAGTTGCCTGTTTTATGTTCGTTATTAATGTATTTGCAGCAAAATAAATATAGAAAATTATTATCAAGGATTCCAATGACGAATGCCCTAATACGAGTACTTTGTGCACACATCGGGAACAACAACAATTTCAAATGGATAGCTTCCTCCATATTTTCCTTGAAGACAACATGCAAATTGACAGTTTCAGTGTCTGGAGTTTTTTCTGTTTCAATCTTCATGCGATTTTCCTAAAATATTTCATTGTAATCATATATGTAAAACCAGTCGTTTTTTCGTCGTTTAATTGAGGTCACCTCATAAGTGAAACCGCATAGTCATTTTCATGCCGGAAGTTTACACATTATAACGGATATCGGAAAAAATCACCGTAAATGAGCTTATTCATTTAGAACAGGAAGGCTAAAATTGAACTCATTTTGACCTCTTTTGTAGCCGTCCCATGCAACACCGCTAACTAATTTTACAATAAAGATTTGTGGGACACTCATCTCCCCTAAGACAGGATCGCGCCCTGGGCAAATTCCTACCAAGTTTTCAGCTCACTGCATTAAGTAGAAATATTAATGACCGCTTAATATCCTGAAATTTCTCTTGCAATAATTAAACGAGGGTCTAAATTACTTCCTTGGCTTAGCTCATCATATTTCAAATAAGTCGTCTCATTCATTTTATTTCTGACAATTCTGCTCCACCCTTTGCGCCAAACGTGATCGGCTCGTGTGAGAAAGACTTAAATAATTTCTCGTTAACAAATGGCGGATACTAACTATTGAAACTCATTTATTTATACGTCCTATTTTTCCTCTTGATTGTTTATTTACGTTGAGTGAAAGTCTTTAAATTAAATTCCTCTCAAATGAAGAATTCCTCTTAAATTCAAATGAAGATTTCGGATGAAGTTCTCCAAAAACTTTACTGAGCGAATTGAAAAGTAAATAGCATGCTCGCGTTATGAAATTTTTCAATGTCAAACATTGTGGTTTATTATAAAAAAACGAGACTGAATAACTTTTCGGGGGATTTATGGAATTCTAGAATTCCATAAATCAATTAAATCATGAAAATAATCTAGTCGTATTTTTATACCTATAAAGTGGCTGTTATGACAAGCCAGTGGCTGTTTTAATACTATAACATATTTTTTAGCTATTATGGATTCAAAGGACGGGGTTGAAATCATGATGTCAATTTAATTGTAAAATAAACAGAAATTATTCGAATCCAAATCGAGTTACTTGTTTTTAGCTCGCAGTTTAGGGTCTTCGATTTTTAGTTAGAAAGCGATTCTCTGCTAAAGAAACTGTGGAAAAATATGAATTTTTTGATTAAATTAACCATCAAGAACCATCAGAGGAGACAATCACATCCAAACTCAACTGTCGTTACTAGTCCCACATCAATAGTTCAATAAAATTGAAAACATCCACTTAGAAAAAAATCGAAGCCAACTCAGGTTGCACTATGATTCTTCGTGACACTAATCAAGGATAGCTGTTTCATTACCATAGCCGGATTCTGCGTGCGAATCCTGCTGTATTCATTTCAATCGATTGCATTTTATACAACAGAACAATCTGGGATTTTTTATCTTACTTATTTGAAACTTGTGCATATTTTAGGCTTTAGATTGGTATTACTGCAAGAAGTTCTCGATCACTCGAAAATTTTCGCCGCAGATGTTTCAGGCCTCACGACGAGAAAAGGTTGGTGACAGAACTAGTCTCATCGCTTGCCCCAATTTACAACACGTCCCCTGATGCTGAAGTTATGCCTGTTGCTTGAAAAAAAAGTTTGATCTCTACTTGTATCCAAGAAATATCAATGTTGCCGAATCGATAACCATATACACACTTCACAGAAGATATTCCTTCTTGAAACAAAAACTCAACAGAGGGATCACGACAGTGACGGCATAATGCCAGTCGCGCAAAATTCTTAGTGCATAGTACGAAGATTTTCCACTATCTTCCCAAATCTTTCCAAATCGAAGATCATCTACTATCTTCCAAAATAGCTAGTGTTTGAGACACAGTAGCTTGGCTGTGAGTATGAGATGAAGGAGGCTCTCGATCAAGAATGCCGGGAAGACTTGTACGTTAGCTCAGTTAACTGACCCAGTTACCTATCGTGGGACGCGAGGCATTATGTTGTCGTCAATCGATCAGAGTTAGAAGTATACGTAGCACCAGCAGTGCATGTATTTACCGGCCACCTCCAGATCCCGCGTTGTAAGTACTTTTTTTGTATAGTTGCCTCCTTCGTGAAAAACCTTCTGAACGATCAGCCGGCCGCGAGATCCCAAATAATGACAGTGTGAGACATCCACATCAATGGCAGTGTTGTTTGCATGCGAGCTGCAGCTACCGGTTACGTAACACTTTGCTTGGCGTGTATTGCTGTTGTTGCGGTGACACCAGGAAATTGTAGAAAACTACAAGAGGGGATGCTTTTGGGGTACGTGCTCCAATAGCGGGTGATAAAAAAGTGCGTGCCATTCGTAACAGTGGTATTTACAGACAGAGTGCTGCTGTCCGTTACGCACCGCCATGACGTACAGCTGTAAACAAGAAATATCAGACGTTTACTATCAACATTACTGTTCTATACAGACGGCGTGCAGCTTCCGACGACGCACCACCTGATACGGACTGTTCCGTTCTTGTAACTATCGTTTTTTTTCGAAAATTTTGTCTCCTGCCAAATGCGTTCAGAAAACAAACGCGTCGATGAAAAATGAAAACCTGTTGATTAAAATTTGTTGAAAAACCAGAACCCAAATGAAAATATCTGTCTGTCACCATAAGTATTTCGTCCGTATTATTTGAAAAAACGCTTTATTAGAACTCTAACGCATGGAAGTATACATACGGAAGTTTTTGAATATTCATTATTTTGTTACAATACTGTCCATTAAATATATTTCAAATGGTCGTTCTGAAGAAGTATTTTCGTCCAAAAAAATCTCCCCACGAATTTTAATCTTTGCGATGCTGAAACAATGAATAATATTAAATCTAGTCGCCAACTCGATACGAAACGTGGCAATTTGAATTCTATTCGGTACGCTGCTTATAGGCAGACTGCAAGCCTAAAATTTATTATTTTATTTAATTGGTCATCTCAAATCGCTTGATTTTGTATCATTTTTTATATGCAACATAAGGTGAAGTTTAAAGTTATTATTTGGACCTGACCATCTTGATGATTACTTTCTATCACTGTATTTACCGTCGCACGTTCCCGCTCTTATTTCAAGTTTTAAAGTACGGGAAATATCAAATCTGAGTCTTTATTAATAGGGAAACATATCTGTCAATTTACCGATGCATAAAAATGGCTATATGAATATTAAAATGTTACAAGGAATTGCAGAAATCTTTAGTTTACTCTAAATCCGGGGATAATTTCAAACATCTGCCATCTCACTCTAACAGTGTGGGAAATAATTTTTTCTGAATTTAAATGGTAGGTTGTGTAGGCCAAGTCATAAGGCAAGTCTTTCAACCTGAGTTACGTAGTTATACAAAACTTGGACTCGTATAAATTAATGTGTATTAATCACACATGAAATATGAATATCTGTCTCAAACAAAAATATCTGTATCAATCTGTGTCAATTAATATCAATCGCAATCAATCATCATCTGCAATTTTTTATTATATTTCACTTTCTGTGGTTAGTCCTTGAAGTTTCGCTGATGTCGCCATTCTCTCAAGTTGACAAGCGTGCATGGCTACTACATATCTCACTTTTATCGTCACCGAACAAATTTTCGATAAACAAACATTTCTTGATCGATTTTGTTACCTGAAACAATAACACACAAATTGACTTTACAGATTTGCATGCCGCTGAAATAGTCTTGAAGAATTGAATTCCTGCAGATTCCGGGAACTGGCGAGACATCACTAGTGAGTCAGCAAGAATACCTCAAGTGCATCAAGGACCAAAATCAACGCAAACGAAATCCTTCGCAGGCGCTAGTTCAGCTGTCGAGCCGCTGTCTCTCTCTGAGCGCTTCCCAGCCCCCAATGTAATGCAAGTCTGGCAACAAAAGGCCACAGTGAAAGCTCTTACGCGAGTGGGTTTACATAGAGAGTCTTCAGCGGGGCAGGACAGCTCTGGCAGCTCACTCATAATTGCCAAGGCAGCTAAAGAAGACAACGGACGCTATTTGTGCGCGGCAAACAATGCTGAAGGCCCCGGGCTCTCGAAGCTCGTCACGGTAACTGTCTTAGGTAGGTCCGATGCTGCAATTTCTGTTATTTGTGTGGTTTTTATTGTCTTAGTGTGCTGATGCTCTATAAGTAAAGCCTGCTGTTTTTACAGTCGTGCTTCAAACTTTCATTTAGCAACCGAATTTGTAATTAATGTCTCTTTTATATTACGCGAGTTGGAGTTAATCCCTAGTTTTAACGCTTAAATATCGTTTCCTGAACCTAATTATTTAGGCTGATCAAATAACAAATTTGCTAAATCGCTGCATTTTATTGCTTAAGTCTTTTTTCCATTTCAGAATATTCTTGAACCTAATCATTTCTATGCTGGTGGGAAATCTGGCTGCAAAACATAAATATAAAAGATTTTCATAACCAAAAGAAAAATCTTTTGGTATTGGTTGAAAATCGTGACTAGACCCAGATAGGGAGCCCAAATTACATTTTATGTCACATGTCATTCACTCCATTATTTTGAATGGAGTCTACTACCCAATTATCAAATCTTTCCTACTTCGTTCTTCCGAACTCTCCTGTAATGTTCGGCCGGGATATTTTTATCACTCTTCCGAACTTTGCCGGGAGACCCTTCTCGCAGCGTCATTATTTCGCCGTTTTCCTGGCCCTGTTTCTAAATCAGCACTGCCATAGCACTTGTCAGAGATCGTTGAATTGGATATTCCTACACGGCTCGGTTTTAATTGTATGCGGCTGGATCTGCCACTACCTGCGTCGGGCTCGGCTCGGTATTTTTCTCATAAAATTAAAGAACTGAAGCCCCGTAAAGATGAATTATGACTAAAGTTTTATTCTTAGATGGATTTTATGCCTTAATTCTACGTTTCGTCAGAGCCTCCATGGTTTCCCGTACGTGGGCACGAGGTGGTGGTCCAGGTGCGGGGAGCGGCTGTGTTGGAGTGCAGTGTTCGAGGAGACGCTCCGCTGGCGGTGCAATGGCGCAGAGACGGCCAAGTCCTGCCACTAATCGGCTCAAAGTAATGCCATATCATTGTTACTAGTTTATTTATGAATTTTAAGATAGGTTTTGCCCATAGATATAAGTGCATGCCCCATGCAGGCTCGAGTCCATGTCTGCAAGCATTTGAACTTTGAGATAGCCTCATGTCAGTGTGGCCTTAGATAGCCACTTATATTATTCTTCCTTCATCTTGCCGAATTTCTAATTTTGTTCCATATTTTCTATTTCCATATCTATTCCATATTTTATTTTTATTATTTTTTGTTCCATATTTTTATATTTCCAATTTTGTTCCCACAGGTACAGCGTTGAACAAGAACACGGGGAAGAAACCACAAAGTTGAAGTTAACATTGAATGACGCTTTGGCTTCTGATGGCGGAGCCTACGAATGTCAGGCTGAGAACCTGCATGGCTCAAACAGCTTGGTTTACTCCCTAGTCGTGCGAGGTAAGATACCGATCATATTCGACAGTTGTAGAAAATCATTTTCTCTTGTTTGTGCATTTTTAATTCTGCAGCAAGATATCTTAACACGGGACGCAGAGACTTGACATTCGGAATTCGAATCAGGAAAGCAAAGACAATGCATTTGTTGTCTGGTAATGACCAAGCGAGTACTCATACCGACCAGTAGTTCAATTTGGTGGCAAAGACTAATAAAACCAGGGATAAATCTTCTCTATTTTACAGTCGGCTCCGGCAACATTTTGGGGAGATTCAACATACCAAAATTCCGACTGACACTTTAATTCGATTATAAGAGTTGTTCAAAATGAAATTTGCAGAAGGTAATGCTGTGGGCTCACTCTAAAAGTCAACTAGGCCCAAGCATCAACGTTTCAATGCGGCTATGATCGTAATTCAAACCCAACAAACTTTTCGTGTTACGGGAGGAATTCAAAGCCCACTTGTATTCCACACATATTAATATAGAATAGAATAGAATAGAAGTGTCGGCGTTGAAGAAATAGGCCCATGGCCTGTTGCCGATTCTTGAACTTTTCGTGACTTGATTCACAAGGGATCCGGCCTTTGGAACCCGATCTTTCCATAACTGACGATTGATTGAGATAGCTGCTGGACTTATTGCCTGCTCCGTAATTTGCTAGTCCACACATCACCTGGACCCTGGACGGCTTCCCTCTGCCACAGTCACACAGGTAACTGCCACACCCACGCCACACATCACCTGGACCCTGGACGACTTATCTCTCCTGCTGTGGTTTCTAGCGATTCTTTTGTGTATGGGATAATTCATTTCCCCATTTACTACAAATCCATTCCTTATTTGCGTGTGAATGCGAATGGTCCGGTCTGAAAATTCATAGACACCGTAGCTACGGCTTCTACTTCATGGCGTTCTGTTCATTTTTCCTCAGCCGTTCCCAAATGCAGGTGTTGTTTGACGCTTTATATTATTTACTTCTTATTGGTGAGCATGATTTATTAGCGCATTTTCTCATTTATGGAAAAAATGCCCTATTGTGCTCGTCATGTCCGTCCGTCCGTCCGTCTGTCCGTCCGTGACTTCACGTTTTTCGTCGATTTTGAGAAAAGGCGCTCTCTGTCACTCACTGCAGTGAGTACTGAGTAATATTTTTTTACTTCCACTCACACATTATCTACTGAGTGAAAATCTTTTGGAATGATATTTCATTATTTCATGATGATATAATGATTTGGAATGGTAACTAGATATTAACTAGTGACATCTTTTTAATTTTACCCACGGCATTTTCTTTGTAAATATTTTTTTATCAGCTCGTTATTTTTTATTGTGTAATTGAGCCTTATATCTTGGTATTTGAGTTGGAAATGTTAAATTTAATATTACAGAGTCTGCTAGTTCTCCCTAGTTCTGCTAATCGCGTCCAAATTTATTGTTGCATAAGATTGCCTCTGCGGCACAAGATTCGCTCTTCGCCGCATCAATCGCCATCGCGCAGCTCAACATTTATTTGTAAGCTTATGTCAGGAGTCAGAATTGCATAACCTTAGTAACTTTAACTTAGGCATTGATGAATATTCATATATTAATTACAACTCTCTTAATCCCATTACTAGTAGCCGTCAGCTTCTGCCAGGAATAATCTTAATTTGAATGACAAAGCCGTAATGTTTGTATTGCAAATTAAACTACGATCGCACGAAATTGTTAATTTATAACCTATTGTATCAGCCAGTAATGTCATCTAATNATTTTTTTTAATATATGAAAATAATTTTGAAATTCATTGTACATGTGTAACATATGAGACACTGGATCCTTTAGAAGTGTTGTCTTTAAAGGGTAAATTTTAAACGTATATTATTATTTTCATCATTTTTTGTCAACACTTCTCTTTAACTTCACTTCTTGTTGTGTGCTACACATTATAATCGCTATTTAACACACTTCTAATAGTCCAATCGATCTGAAATTTTGCACACTTGCGTAAAGTCGGACACAATATTTGAATCAATTGACAGAATTAATCATTTTATAAATTAAAACCTAATTTCTATAAAAAAAATTAGAAACTAATTTTTTAATATATACAAGTAAAATTAGAAATTCATTGTACATGTGTATGATAGGAGACAATGGCCTCTTTGGAAGTGTTGTCTTTAAAAATTAATTTTAAACGCATATTACTTTATTTATTATCATCTTTTGGAGGCTGTGAAATCTTGAGTACACATTCGTATTTTTTTGGCGATTGAAATTTTATAAGAAAAGATCATGAATTTTTCTGTTGAAATGAAAATTACTGTGCAATTCTCTTATGATAAACCTACACTCTCTGTGCAAATTATTTGTCGATAAGGTACACTCAAATTCATATGTCATTGACTCGTTGTCTATATACTAGACTGAGAGCCATAAAGTTTAAAGTTTAAAGTTAAAGAGTTTAAAAATACTAGCCACGAGCTCCAGTTTTACTTACTGCAATTTTTTCTTAGAATAATGCTTTCGAAAAATATTGATCAAGGAAATGCGTTCACTCTACCGTGCCAACGGGCAAGAAGATCCAGTAGAACATCGCTGTCATCTTGATTTTCTTTTAAATCATCAAATGAACGCGGCCACAAACATGTTAGCGCAGCCCACAGGTCGCAGTGCCATTTGTTGATTGAATCATGCATGCACGCGCGGCCCTCAGTTGAGATGCCGGCCCCGTCATGTCTTCAAAGGCGAGAAAGCACCCCTCGGAGGACCCAACGTAAACACTGCGTTGTGAATATCAGGTCCAAAGAACATGTGATGATGGTAGCACCCCTCGGAGGATTCTGCAATTGTGACAGAGATTGCTTGCATATATTCACTGTATTTATGATTGCATTTTTAGCGCATTTTCTCATTTATGGAAAAAATGCACTATTTTGCTCGCCATGTTCGTCTTTCCGTCCGTCTTTTCGTCTGTCCGTCCGTGACTTTACGTTTTCGTTGACGATAAAATGCGCTCTCTGTCACTCACTGCAGTGAGTACTGAGATATATTTTTTATTAAATGCCTTTACTTTTTTACGCATTTTTAATTCTTTAATTATTTGTTGGGCGCAGCTAACTTGACTCGTTGCTTGATTGGATTTAGGTCACAAACGTGGGAATTTTTTATGGATTTTAGTAAGCTGAAAATTAATACAATAATTTCGTGAAGAGGAAATTACCCGTTTTTTCGACTAGGAACATTAGACTGAATTAGAATTGAAAAGCCGGAGAATGAAAATGTCATTCGGAATTGAAAAGCCGGATAATGAAAATGTCATTCAACACTGTAAATTTAAATAGCAATTGATCTAGGTTTCGTCATAATATTTCAAAATATCACTAATGAAATTTAAAGTTAAAACTATGCTCGGTCTTTATTTGATTATTCAACATACAGCTTTTATTTATCCTAATCNTAAAATTATTATTGTTGTTAAATAAATGAGACGAATACAAGATGCAATACCATTAATATAATGTAAACCACATTCAGAGAGTAAGTAAATAATATCACGTATATTATTTGGGTTCTTGATCAGAAAATTTACCAAATTATTGAAGAACTCATTTCCACGTTGACCGAATGATTTTAAATTCATGAATTATTTATTGCGGCCCGTTTCATGCTCCCCAGTCTAGGTTACAGTACCAATAGAAAGTTTTATCCAATTACATGTCCAGTGATGATATCAATAAATGTAATTACTTTATTCAATTTTCGTATGCATTCAAGCATAAAACGTCGTATGTTCTTTAAAGCATCGTAAAAACTTTTTCGCTTAAAATAAATTGGTTCTACATTACATCGGAAAAGCTGCTTGCCGGAAATGAATTAACATGTGCAGGATGCATTCAAATGTGACATAATAAAATTATTAACGAATATTCAATTGACGCCAATTTATTCCTGAACATTCCTAATGTTTTTCTACGGCCGTTGTTTCAACCGTCTACAAGGAAAACTCTTGTCAGCTAATTGGCCAAGGGTATATTTATAATATAATTACAATCTGATTGGATTTCAGCCTAGTCAAACGCAATTACGCAAAGAATAATCTCGCTGTTGGATGTTTACAAAGAACACATGGAGACATGTGTAAAACACGTGTATGAATTTACTTTGTACCTTAGCCAAGTCTGTTAATTTGTCATTTATATTATTGTGTTACTCCTTAAATTATGAGCGGATACAACTACTATGAATTTAAAATGTGTACTACATGTAACATTATAATAACCAATCAGAAAATATAAACTATAAACCAACAAAAACTCGGGATAAAATTGTTATCCACATGGCCCATTTGCTGCATCTCGTTTTCTGGCATGCCGTTTTGTATGTGCAATTTAAGATATCTTGTCTGAGTTTTGTTGTTTCATGGGAAACTGCGTTTTCAGTTGCCTGTTATATGTTCGTTAATTATGTATTAGCAGCAAAATAAACATAGAAAGTTTTTTACAAGGATTTTGTCAGCGCTCATTTACTGAGCGCCACCTGAAGATCGGAATACGTGACTAAGGTCATGAAGGATAAGTGAGAAACATCTGCCTAGATAACATATACATGGTGGTAATACAAGATTTACGAAACAGGTAGAAGCTACGGCGTCGACCGTAAGGTCGGAGAACCATAATGACGCGAGTCACATCGAGGATCGCTTATCAACTACTGCGGGGGGGGGGGAGCTTACTAAGGGTTCCCAGCCTTTTTATATGATCCAAGCTTCCGCCCACAATTAACTAAGGTCTTGATCGCGTGATCTATCGCGTGATGTCTTCCAGACGCGGACTCATGCCTAGTACTTTTCCATCAATCTCTATCAGGTCAAGTGAATATTACGTCTCAATTACAAATGATCTAGTCATATATTGTAATTATAATGAATATAATGAGACGCCAGATTGTTAGCAGACAATTCCAATATTGCATGCCTTAATACGAGTACTTTAAATTATGCTCACATCGAGAATAAATCAATTTCAAATTGATAGCTTCCTCCACATTTTCTTTGAATACATAATACAGATTGACAGTTTCAGTGTCTGGAGTTTTTAGCGCATTTTCTCATTTATGGAAAAAAGGCTCTATTGAGCTCGTCATGTCCGACTGTCCGTCCGTACGTACGTCCGTCTGTCTGTCCGTCCGTGACTTCACGTTTTCGTCGACGAGAAAATGCGCTCCATATCACTCACTACAGTGAGTACTGAGTTATATTTTTTATGTTTTAATCTGCATGCGATATACCTAAAATATTTCATCATAAAGCTTTTTTTTCTATATAAAGCTTTTCGTTTTGCCGTGAATTGAGGTCACCACATAGATAAGGAAAACCGCATATAGTCATTTGTATGCTGGAAGTTATACATTATAGCAGGTATCGCAAAAAATCATCGTAGATGAGCTTTTTTCTTTTAGAACAGGAAGGCTAAAATTGAGCTCATTTTGACCGCTTTTGTAGCCTCACCAACACCGCTAACTAATTTTACAATGAAGATTTGTGGGGCACTCATTTCCCCTAAGACAGGATCGCGCCCTGGGCAAATTTCTGCCAAGTTTTCACGCTCACTGCATTAAGTAGAAATATTAATGACCGCTTAATTTCCTGAAATTTCTCTTGCAATAATTAAACAAGGGGCTCCATCACTTCCCCGGCTTAGCTCATCATATTTCAAATAAGTCGTCTCATTCATTTTATTTCTGGCGATTCTGCTCCACCCTCTGCGCCAAACGTGATCGGCTCGTGTGATGAAGACTTAAATAATTTCTTGTTAACAAATGGCGGATGGAAACTATTGAAACTCATTCATTTAAACGTCCTATTTTTCTTCTTGATCGCTTATTTATATTGAGTGAAAGTCTTCAAATTAAATTCCTCTCAAATGAAGAATTCCTCTTAAATTCAAATGAAGATTTCGGATGAAGTTCTCCCAAAAACTTTTCTGAGCGAATTGAAAAGTAAATAGCATGCTCGCGTATCTATGTTATGAAATTTTTCAATGTCAAACATTTGGGTTTATTATAAAAAAAAAACGAGACTGAATAACTTTTCGGGGGATTTATGGAATTCTAGAATTCCATAAATCAATTAATCATGAAAATAATCTGGTCGTATTTTTATACCTATAAAGTTGCTGTTATGACAAGCCAGTGGCTGTTTTAAAACTATAACAAATTTTTTAGCTATTATGGATTCAAAGGACGGGTTTGAAATCATGATGTCAATTTAATTGTAAAATAAACCGAAATTATTCGAATCCAAATCGAGTTACTTGTTTTTAACTCGCAGTTTAGGGTCTTCGATTTTTAGTTAGAAAGCGATTCTCTACTGAAGAAACTGTGGAAAAATGTCTATAATATGAATTTTTTATTAAAATAACCATCAAGAACCATTAGAGGAGACAATCACATCCAAACTCAACTGTCGTTACTAGTCCCACATCAATAGTTCGATAAAATTAAGAACATCCACTTAGAAAAAATTCGAAGCCAACTCAGGTTGCACTATGATTCTTACCATAACTTGAAAAAAATATACTCTTGGCTTAAAAAATCTATCACTGACGTGAAGAAAAATATTTCATTGACATAACAATATATATCCTTGACTTGAAAAAGGTATCCTTGCGACAAAAAAATTCGTCCTTGACATGAAAAAATGTATCATTGACTAGAAAAAATATATTTAGTTGATTAGAAAAAAAACTTTGTTCCAGTTTCGTCCATAATTCAGATATTATGTGCAGAGAATTTGTACCTAATCGTGATTTCAGCCAACACCATAAAAACTCATCAACTTTTGGCACATTGGTGTTGACTGAAATCAACTTTTGGCAAGGCAAGAGTCAATAACTCGATAAGGGGTCATAAATACGCATAAATAGAAACAAAACCTGCTGCCTTGAGGCAGCAAATAAAAAATCATGCATTATGAAGTGTAATTTGTAATTCAAAAAGCTAGTCATAGTATGAAAAGGTCATTGAGACAAATCTAATGATGTATAACACAAGACTTTGCCATGGGCGCTTTGCCCCATGACACGCATGGGCCCGTTGCCCCCACTAGGTATCATTTCAATTTATATCGTGTCAACATTTTACTTTAAAAGCTAATAGTCTAAACTTGATCTCAAAATTATCCCTATAAATATTACTTTCAAATATAATTCACAGTAATTTCAAAAACTTAATCTACAGTCATCGAAAACAGTTTTATTTAGCAGCAAAAAAAAAAACTTTATCTTGGCTGAAACCGTTATCCACAAATATCTTAATAACGCAAACACTTAGCAAAACGTAAATCCGTGCACATCATCCCAGTGAAACTGTCGACCGGCGGTAGAGAACACGGCCCAATATCTGCCATGCTTAGCGAGAAACCCGCTATGGGCCCATGACCCGCAGTGGGCTCGCTGCCCCATGTTACCCTACTATGATTCTTCGTGACACTAATCAAGGATAGCTGTTTCATTACCATAGCCGGATTGTGCGTGCGAATCCTGCTGTATTCATTTCAATCGATTGCGTTTTATACAACAACAATCTGGGATTTTTTATCTTACTTATTTGAAACTTGTGCATCTGTGATACTTTTTTGCTGAAACGCGGTTTTGTTGCCTGTATATAAAATTTGTGCATATATTTAATTTGTTGAGTTTGACTACAAAGCACTTCAGTTGCCGCTAAATTGCGAACACGGGATGTGTTGACGACATCGAATTCATCTAGTCCAAAATTTTTTGTTTTAGGCCTTTCTAATTTCACGTAGAGTTTGTGTCTCATTACTTTGGTATCTTGGTACTTGTTTGGGACATAGTAGTCCTAGGCCACGATGGATCACCGCCTCTGATTATCGTTCATCCGCCCTCATTTGAGCCACCTGATGCACGATGCTGTTGCTTGCTGGTAGTGTTGAAGGGGAGGTCAATCCGCCACGTGGGGCAACTCACGGCCGTCGCAGGCCAAACCTTGAGTGTCACCTGCCCCGTCGGCGGCTATCCCATCGACAAAATAACCTGGCAAAAAGGTGTGTGAGAACATTGGCTTTTTAGTTACAAACCGACCCTCTACTTGTTTAAACTTTGAAAGTACTTTAGATGCTCGAGCCTTCTAATGTCGTGCTAGCTCTGTTTTGCTCCGTAGTGTTTACTCTCGGCATGCAGCTGCCTTTAACGCACGCCAACAACAGCTATTCAAGATGTTCACAAACATCATCACTGTTGTTTACAGACGGCGTGCAGCTTCCAGCGACGCACCACCATGACGTACAGCTGTAAACAAGGAATATCAGACGTTTACTATCAACATTACTGTTGTATGCAGACGGCGTGCAGCTTCCGGCGACGCACCACCATGACGTGCGGCTGTAAACAAGGAATATCAGACGTTTACTATCAACATTACTGTTCTATACAGACGGCGTGCAGCTTCCGGCGACGCATCACCAGCGCGTGCACGTCAACGGGACGCTGACGATCGCTGCGGTCACGCGGGAGGGCGACGAAGGCAGCTACTCCTGCACGGCGCTCGACAAGCAGGGCCGCTCCGACCACCAGACGCTCCATATTCAAGTTATGGGTAATTATTCATGGCGAATGATCAATTCTGATCCATGATTTGATTATTTTTTCACATAAAAAATCCGCGTACGGTACTCTGATATTCATGTATAATTAAAAAAAGGTTTCGGCACTCTCTAAGCTAAGCTGCAATCCACCTTCTGCTGCGAGTGTCCTGATTATCTGTGAGCTATATCCATAAAATAATTAAAACAATCTATACATATCTATCCGACTGGCATTAAGATAGTAGTTTCTCATGGCTGAATCAAGTCATTCATATCAGCGCACTTTGTATGCACACTGAAAATTTATTTCTAGTACCTCCACGTCTGGCGCCCGTCGTATTCGTTGGAGGTACGAGCGCAGGTCTGCCTGCTCAGGCAACGTGCATCGTGTTGAGTGGCGACCCGCCCATTACCCTGCGCTGGCTCAAGGACGGCCAGGCAATAACTGCTGCTGCATCAGGAGTGTTGATATCACAGCACAGTGAGATCTCCTCCACCTTGTCTATCGACCGCACGTCCGGCGAACACTCCGGCAATTACACGTGCACAGCTTCGAATGGTGCGAGGACTACATCTTCTTCTGCTGCTCTCACCATCAACAGTGCGTTGTTCTTCGACTTCGCGACTAGTGATAATCTCATATGAAGATTTTCCGAACATCTCAATATCACAATCACTTGTCTCCATATTATTCTTTTTTTGCCAACTGCATCGCTACATTAATGACCTTTGAAGTTTAAGGAATGTTATTTGACTTTGATTTTCTGAGATTGTATGAAAAAATGCCCTCCCCTTTGCAAGTTTGTGTGTACATCAAATTAACAATGGTTCATGAAAACAATCAGTTTCCCATTGATTAATAGTTCGTTAAGCTATAAATTCAGTCGAATATTGTTCGCTCTGGTGAGTTTCTATTCTAATGTATGCATTTGGTCATGATATTTTTTCATCTAATCATAATCAGTTCCCCCGACGTGGCTGGTAGAGCCCTCTGACGCAGATGTCTCACTGGGCGCGTCTCTGGAGATACCCTGCAGCGCTAGCGGCTTCCCGACGCCCAGAGTTACATGGAGGAAACAAACACGTTAGTAAAAAATTTATATACTAACTTCACTAGACTAATTACACTTAAGTATAACTGAACTTATAATTTAAAACGATACTAAAAGATATGGTCTGTTCCGTTCATGTACGTAACTATGGGTTTTTTCGAAAATATTGTCTCCGGCTAAATGTGTTCAGAAAACAAACGCGTCGATGAAAAATTAAAACCTGTTGAATAAAAATTTCTTAAAAAACCAGAACCCAAATGAAAATAGCTGTCTGTCACCATAGGTATTTCGTTCCCGTGTTATTTGAACAGATGCTTTATTAGATCTCTAACGCGTGACAGCATACATATGAAAGTTTGTGAATATTCATCATTTCGCAACAATCCTGCACATTAAATATTTTTTAAATGGTCGCTCTGAAGAAGCATTTCCGCCCAAGAAAATCTCACGAATAATTTTGAGCTTGAACAATTGAACAGGTAATTCAATCTAGTCGCCCACACAAAACGAGATATCGCAATACTTTACTCGGTAGGCAGGCCTAAAATTCATTATTTAATTTGATTGGTAACCTGCAAGGCAATTTTTATCTCTTGATTTAATATCTTTCTTATTTGGTATGCAACATAAGGAGAGAAGTTTAAAAAAGAAATTTTTATGGTATTTACTGTCTTTACCGTCGTACGTTCCCGCTACTATTTCAAGTTTTAAAGTACAGGAAATACAAATCTGAGTTTTTATAAATATCGAACATATCTATCATATTGAAATATTAGTCGTTCAAAAAGAAAGACCGACGACCGATTCAGAAATCATTTTTTTCTGAATTTGATTGGTAGGTTGTGTAGGCCTAGTCATTAGGCAAGTCTTTCTACCTGATGTATGTAGCTATACGAAAATTTGACTTGGAAAAATTAATGTGTATTAATCACTCATGAAATATGAATATCTGTATCGAACAAAAATATCTGTATCAATCTGCGTCATTTAATATCAATCGCAATTAATCATCATCTGCAATTTTTTATTATTTTTCACTTTCTGTGGTTAGTCCTTGAAGTTTCGCTGATGTCGCCATTATGACGCAACTTTCAAGTTACCTTGACAGGTTTGCATGGCTACGATCTATCTTCTATCGTCACCGAAAATATTTACGATAAACAAATTTTTTCTATCGATTTTGTTACCTGAAACAATAGCACACAAATCGGCTTTAGAAATTTGCATGTCCCTGCAATAGTCTCGAAGAATTGAATTCCTGCAGATTCCGGGAACTGGCGAGACATCACTAGTGAATCTACACGAATACCTCAAGTGCATCAAGGACCAAAATCAACGCAAACGGAAACCTTCGCAGGCGCTAGTTCAGCTGTTGAGCCGCTGTCTCTCTCTGAGCGCTTCCCAGCCCCCAATGTAATGCAAGTCTGGCAACAAAAGGCCACAGTGAAAGCTCTTACACGCGTGGGTTTACATAGAGAGTCTTCAGCAGGACAGGACAGCTCTGGCAGCTCACTCATAATTGCCAAGGCAGCTAAAGAAGACCACGGACGCTATTTGTGCGCAGCAAACAATGCTGAAGGCCCCGGACTCTCGAAGCTCGTCATGGTAACTGTCCTAGGTAGGTCCGATGCTGCAATTTCTGTTATTCGTGTGGTTTGCTTTTTCTTAGTGTGCTGATGCTCTATAAGTAAAGCCTGTTGTTTTTACAGACGTGCTTCGAACTTTCATTCAGCAACCGAATGTGTAATTAATGTCTGTCTCTTTTATTTCAAGCGAGTTGGAGTTAATACCTAGTTTTAACGCTTAATTATTATTTCCTGAACCTAATGATTAAAGCTCATCACATAGAAAACTTGCTAAATCAATTCATTTTATTGTTAAAATCGTTTCAGTTCATTTAAGAACATTCTTGAACCTAATTATATCCATGCAGGTAGGAATTCAGACTGCAAAACATATATGCTTAAGATTTTGATAACCAAAAGAAAAATCTTTTGGTATTGGTTGAAAATCGTGACTAGACCCAGATATGGACCAAAATTACATTTTTTTCACATGTCATTCACTCGATTATTTTGAATGGAGTCAACTACCCTATTTTCAAATCTTTCCCACATCGTTCTCCCGAACTCTCCTGTAATGTGCGGCCGGGATTTTTGTAAGGTTCATCGCTCTGCCGGGCGACCCTTCTCGCAGCGCCATTATTGCGCCCTTTTCCTGACCCTGTTTCTGAATCTTCACGGCCGTAGCACTTGTTAGAGATAGATGAATTAATCATCACTGCCGTAGTGCTATGTTAGAGATAGATGAATTGGATATTCTTCCATGGCTCGGTTCTACTTGTATGCGGCTGTATCTGCCACTGCCTGCGTCGGGCTCGGCTCTGATTTTTACTTTTGGCTCGGTGTTTTTCTCACAAAACTAAAGCACTGAAGCCTCGCAAAAATAGAGTATAACTAAAATTCTATTTTTATTGTGATTTTATGCCTCAATTCCACGTTTTACACAGAGCCTCCATGGTTTCCCATACGTGGGCGCGAGTTGGTGGTCCAGGTGCGAGGAGCGGCTGTGTTGGAGTGCAGTGTTCGAGGAGACGCTCCGCTGGCGGTGCAATGGCGCAGAGACGGCCAAGTCCTGCCGCTAATCGGCTCAAAGTAATGCCAGCATTTTTAATAATTTATTTCTAGATTTTAAAATAGGTTTTGGTCATAGATATAAGGTCACTTTTTAGCCCCATGAAGGCTCGAGTCAATGTCTGCAAGCATTTGAACTTTTAAATAGTCTCATGCGAGTGTGGCCGTAAATAGCCATATATTTCTTCCTTAGATCTTCCTTATCTTCTTGCCGCATTTCTAACTTTGTTCCACATTCCCATAGGTACAGCGTTGAACAAGAACATGGGGAAGAATCCACAAAGTTGAAGTTGACATTGAATGACGCCTTGGCTTCTGATGGCGGAGCCTACGAATGTCAGGCTGAGAACCTGCATGGCTCCAACAGCTTAGTTTACTCCCTAGTCGTGCGAGGTAAGATACTGATTATATTCGGCAGTAGTAGAAAATCATTTTCTTTTGTTTGTGCATTTCTAATTTTGCAGCAAGATATCTTAACACGGGACGCACAGACTTGATAGTCGGAACTTGAATCATGAAAGCATAGACAAGGCATGTGTTGTCTGGTAATGACCAAGCGAGTACTCATACCGACCAGTAGCTAGTTCAATTTGGTGACAAAGCCTAATAAAACGAGAGATAAATCTTCTCTATTTTACAGTCGGCTCCGGCAACATTTTGGGGAGATTCAATATACCAAAATTCCAACTGAAACTTTAATTTGATTATAAGAGTTGCTCAAAATGAAATTTGCAGATGGTAATGCTGCGGGCTCACTCCATAAGTCTACTAGGCCCATGTATCAACGTTTCCATGCGGCTATGATCGTAATTCAAACGCAACAAACTTTTCGTGTTTCGAGAGGAATTCAAAGCCCACTTGTATTCCACATTTAATATTGCAAGTTCAAGCCATAAACATTCCTGAAATTATAAAAAAAACAATCAATAAAATGCTAAAGATCACTGGGTTGCTAAGAATGATAAAATATTTACAACAAAATTCATATTAAAACGGTACTCAAATTAAATCTGTCCCTAATAATATTTGCATACGATAGTCGCACTTAAATCCTTCACTAGTACAAGGCACGTACCTCCGTCAAGTTTCCGCACCAAACAATAACTAACGCAGCGTTCCTTAATTGCGGACGTGAACAGTAAGGTTGTCACTAAACCTAAAACATCAAAAAATGTCTCCAATTAAAACATTAACAGTAGAAATTAAAATCTTCCACTTTTTTCACTTTTTAGTTTCATCAGGAAAAGTTTCATCTTTTCACAATTTAGTTTCATCTTTTCCTCTTGGAAATCAGGCACTGAGATTATGGCTGTGCCTTAACGAACAAAGTCAGACCTCATTTCTCACCCTTCACCCAATTTTCATCATTGAGTCATTATTGAGTTAATTGTTTTGGTAGCGTGACTTCTTTCCATTCGCTCCATAGTCCTTGCCTTTGAAGGCGTTTGTCTCTTGATCAACCGCAGTGATGATAACATGAACTTTTTCAAGAAAAAGCGCCTCCTTTTTTCATGAAAACAAGAATTGTCATTCGCTCTCAGTTACAGAAACTAATAAAGTTATCCCAAGCAAACTCGTTTTAGTTATTTATAGTCCACAGGTCCTTGATTTTCTTCCGTCCTTCGTCATTAAATTATTCCTAACTTGTACGACTACTTTTTGAATTGTAGGTTCGAAATAAGTACTACGTCGATGAGACCATAGATATGATATGTAACATTTTTTGTGAAAAGCTGGTATAGGAAGTGCAATTCATTATTAAAAAATCTATAGTCACTGCATTACCTTCTGCAAATTTCATTTTGAGCAACTCATATAATCAAAATTAAATGTCGGTCGGAATTTTGGTATGTTGAATCTCCGTAAAATGTTGCCGGAGCCGACTGTAAAATAAAGAAGATTTTTTCCTGTTTTTATTAGGAATTTATAAATTGTATTTTTCTATTCAGTTTTCGAAAAAAAATTCAATCATATTTTATTCAGCTCAGATATGGCAAAGGAGAGAACGAGCGCACAGGCATTGTTTTATCACTTCATAATTGCCAATGACACACAAATTTGAATTAATTTAAAGTAAATACTTAGAATTAACGTAATTTCAATTTCTTAGAGAGATTTTATAATATAAATATATATACGCGTATCGTATCAAAACCACGGCCCGAATTGTCTAATTAACTGTACTATATTCAATTTTTCGGGATGTTGAAATTTAAATGCTCTAAAGATTATCATTGTATTAAGGCATGGACATCATACTTTGTTGCTTGAAATTGATTGGCATTTCATGTATGAGTATAAAGTATTATGACGGTTCTATTTCTAGATCTCTATTTCTTCTGAAGTTTCTAGTATATTGAAGGTTCTTATTAATCTATCAACATTTAGGGATTTTATACACAATCTTCCCATTCCCATTATTAATCTATTTAAAATACATTTAATAGATATGATTTCAAGCCTACACATTATATGGCAGATGTCCCGTCAGCGCCAAGTGGCGTCAAAGTTTCAGAGAAAGGCGCTCGTTTCATAGCTCTTGAATGGTCTGCTTCTGCTGAGCGTGCCTCCGTACCTGAATCATCAGATATCAACTTTATCGTTTTCTACGCCACTGTTGAAGGTATTGTTTTGAGACTATTCTTTCGTATGATTAGTTTTCAGATGTTTTGGTTTTGCCTTCTGAAGTCTGTTTATATCTTGGTCTCATGAATCCTAGTGAACTACGGTTTTACTTAGTGCCTATCTGTCCGTTAGCAGCCATTTATTTGTAAAATGAATATTTCTACTACAATTTACTTAGTGCCCATTTGTCCGTCAGCCGCCATGTATTTATAAAACATATATTTCTACTGCAAAGGTTCATATAAAGAAATAAAAGTCCCAACCTACTTCGCACGAATCACCGGCCTTGATCCCGCGACGCGTTACTTGTTGCGCGTGGCGGCCGAGAACAGCGTAGGCAGGAGCGACGCTACGGAGGTGCTCATGACGGCGACACTGGAGGAACCTCCCACGGGACCCCCCAGGAATTTAAAGGTCAATGATATACAAGAAGACTAAAATGTTTGGTCATGTGAGACTGTTTGTATTACAGTTTAAAGCATAATATTTTCGCGTAATGATAATGCTAAATTATTTCGAGGGTTTGACCGCGTCATATGCGCCTGCTGACTGCTGTTAATGCTGCTACTTTAATTCACTGTTTCAAAAAAGGATGATTCTTGATCATTCTGCAAAAATCTAACGATTCATTAGGTTGGATTCTTCGTTCTTTAATGAAAAAAATCCATTCGCCAACATTACTTCCCTATTTTTTTCAGGTCGTAGACGTTTCGAAACGGAGTGTGGTGCTGCGATGGGAGGCACCATTGGCAAACTCGACCAACGGCCTTATACGTGGCTACATTTTAGGGTATCGCAAGAACAGGTAAAATTATACTTCAAAATAATATACACAAACTGAATCAGTTTGTAGGGCATTATTGACGTTATTGTGAACTACTGTATAGAGAATTGTATAACGTGCAATCAAGAAACTATATTATATCTTATTCAAAATTCAACCTTCCATTTATTTCCAATTCGAGGTTAACATACTTTCGCTCAGCTTCAGCCATCGAGGGGATTCAATGAGCTACAACTACACAGCGATACCACTAAAAGGCCCTTTTAAACTGTCATCGGGACTGCCCTCGGTCTTTCCCGATCCAGAAAACCGTTCAAGCGAAATAAATTCTTCGTCGGTTACAATCAGCGATGTTCGAATATCAGACTCGACAATTGAGGTTTCTATGGACGGCTTGAGACCACACTCCCGATACGCACTCACTGTTCAGGCCTATAATTCAGAGGGCACGGGTCCTTCAACTCCTGCGATCACGATCGTTACCAAAGAAGATGGTGAGCGTTTGTAATTTCGATTAAACAAAATTAAACTCGTGTGTCGCATGGCATGAATAATATTGATAATTTTTGTTCGATGTAAAACCTTTCAGCTCTCATTTTTTAACATTTCGGAATCATTTGTATTTGAAGGCTATTTTTTACGCCCACTTTAGGTCATTTCGTACGGCCGATTCTATCACACGCTATCGACGCTGCTGGCTAAACATGAGTTTTAATGTTTGCTATTGATAGGCTTCGATTATGTTTAGAAATTTCTCCCTTTTCCTTGTCGTGATATTACCGAACATTTTTCTGATTATTCATTCACTGGTGAACTGTCTAACTTGATTAATACAGTCCCTAGCTCACCTCCCGAGAAAGTTATCTGCGAGGCTATAAGCGCGTCCGAAATTTTCGTAACGTGGACACCTCCACATCCTGACGGTGCCAATGGCAGGATCGTCAGCTACAAAGTTCACTACGGTGAGACATTGATATCGAGTTTCTTGAACCTGCTTTCAGGAGACCGACTGCATTTACAATTACTGTCAACATCTAATAGAGTTAAGAGTAGAGTAGACTTGAAGTAATGAATGGACGCGTATTTTTTTCCCTTAGAGATATTAGACAACATTCGAGCCTCTAATTTTGGTACCATTAGACGGTATCTTAACGTGAGGCCTTGGATTATCACTGATGACAGTGTCTAGCTACAGGCCAGACACTGTCACAAATGAACTTATAGAACAATGCTGTCGTAACATAGCTCTATTGCCCTGAAAATTTCAACCATTCAAATAAACCGAAAACGCGTGAAATCACACTATAACTGAATACAGAGTCGCATTGGTCAGAAATAAAATGTCATGCAATCAAATATAATCAACCTGTCATTGTTCTTCAGCCAAATTCATCTCCCCAGAACTTTTCTCCGCTCCAAGTTCATTGCACCAGGACGTTCTTCTATTCCTATTACTATCATTTTCAATTGGAAAATTGATTTAAAATTAACATGACTAAATATCGATTTTTTGCTGCCCCTCAGTGCAACTTATCTTAACGACCTAACGTTTATCGGAGCCGGCTACGAGGCTTATGTCAATTTTCTCACATTAGAAGCAATCTTTTGTTGAATGCTAAGTTAATTTGAAGAAATATTTTGTTGAATTATCTATTACAAATGCATTTTTATGCTTTCCAGAAAAGGCTGATCATATCAAAGGTATCGGATTCTCGGGGAGTAGCAGCCAAATCACTCCCCTGCGTAGTCTACTTCCCAGTCACCACGAACAAAAATTTACAAACAGAGAAATAAGTTCAAATTTCAGACTCGATTCTGAACCAGAAGCACCACATTCAGCCCCTGAACCTCCTGGCGAGGTGCTGGTGAACGACGGTCTCGAAACTCGTCTCACGTCCCTCAGGGCCTTCAGCAACTTCAGCGTGACCGTGGCCGCTGCCACTGCTGTAGGCGTCGGAGTGCCCTCTACGCCCATCATTTGCGCCACAGCTGAAGGAGGTAAGACCATCACCTACTTCCCGCTCGTTCTTCTATGTTTAATTCCCGGTTTTATTAATTTTTATCCGAAAAATTTTCGAAAATACGGAAAAAAAATTTCAGAAGCATTGAATTGTAACTTTTCATATAATTTGACAGTGCCGACAGCTCCCACTGCAGTCAAAGTAGTCCTTAGTAGTAAGAGGAAGGCCATTGTGTCGTGGCGACCTCCTGACTCTCCTCGAGGGCGCATCACGCACTACGCGGTGCAGTGGCGCCCGGTGGTTGACAGTGTAGGGAACACGCGAGAAGTTACAGTACCTGGCGACAGCCAGCACTGTGAGTTGCTGGACCTGCCATTCGATGAGACTGTCCAGGTGAGTAAACATTTAGAGGGAATCCAGGTGAGAACACAGTCAGATGATAATCTTTCGACATTTTAATTTGTCGGTGGTTTTCGATGCGTACTTTATTGAATTGAGGGTAGATCCGAATCATTGAATTCCCGCGTAACAAATATTAGAACAGCAATGAAGAGCGTAAGAGTAATGAGGAACATATTATACGAACTGAAATTATTGCTAATTTTGTGTGATCATTACTGCGATCAAATGCAACCAGGGTACTAAGATCCCAACGAGTCAAAGATTCCGTCTATCGTATCAATTATGAAGATGATTGTAAGTTACTGACTAAGTGACAAATTACGCGTTAATATCTCGAAATATCTTTAGCATTCTGTTTGTTTTCAAGGTTGTGGTGCTAGGATACACCAGAGTAGGAGCTGGTGCCGCTAGTCAACCAGCGAGCATCGTTGTCTCAGAAACGAGTGAGTATTTTGATTGAACCGACTGATGTGGTTTTGCCTTTCATTGATTGATATTGAAAGTTCGTTAACTGTTAAGCGCAAGTGATATTAATCTTGCATCGACTTAAGATACAAATCACCATAAAATATATAAGATGTATTGCATTCAGTGTCAGTGCCGAAGTTACAATTATGAAAGTAACGGTTATGATCAGCTGGTCACTCTTGTTAGGAATGTTTGCTTTCGAGTTCTCACGGAACTAAAGATTCAAATAAAATGTCATCGTTAACCAATGTATATGTTTCTTTAGTCAAAAGTTGAAGCACGAATCAAATGTTTCTCATAAATCATCTTCGATTTCATTCTCGATCATATTACTTAATATCCATAACAAAATTTTTAATCTCTTTTCAAATACGACACATAGATGGCCATCGCTACTCTTTATAGATCTCAACTATATTTTATTTTCAGTACAGCAAATCTATGGGGAACCACAAAGAGTGTTGTAGGAAGGGAGGGCGAAAATTCCTATATAATTTGGGTCTTTGCGTAATGGATGGAGCAGTGAATCTATTATTAATCAATGCTTAATTGTGAAATATAAAAATAATTAAACAACATTAAAATTGAACCGAAGTTATAATTCTAGGAAAATTGACAGTAAACAGCAATACATACGATTAGTTATTGCACTCGTTTAATAACAACTTAAGTCTATTTTTAATTTTATGCATGCGATTTATTCTTTTTCATATAAATAAAACACAAATATCTATTAGGTTGCAAAAAAAAATAAAATTCTACTTGTGAATGATGCAGAAGCTTTTACAGACTGTCTTTTAATTTATGAGTCTAACTTTTGCAATCATCATACTTCACTTGTCGTATTTCCCCAAAAATCTTAGGCCATTTTACAAATACATGAAGCGAGAAAGCACAAACCAATATTACAAGACTCTAACACTCCTTAAGACCTCAAAACAGGTGAAGTAATCAGTGCTTGGGTAAAAATAGCGGTGGAAATTTATTATTCATTCATCATGATGATTTTTATGTTCTGGACAGTTCCTGCAGGAGTTTGGTCGGTGGGAGGCAGGGTATCAGTGGCATGGAAGGAGTCCATATCAATGCCTTGTAATGTCGTTGGTTTACTGCCACCTACCAGGTCCTGGTCTCGGGACGGTCTCTTCCTCAATCAAGACAGGTTAAGTTCCTTAAAATAAAAATTCAAACATAGCATTAGATGATTGATTTGCTGGTTTTTAAAAAAGTTTAATCCGATCTTCCATACTACTGCGAGTGATCGAAGTCATCCTGAGAAATTCTCCAATCCCTTTTGACCAAAGATTTTACTCATACCGAATATTTCTCCTCCAGCCGAGTATCCATCCTGGATGACGGAGAAATGCGCATACTGGACGCGCAGCGCAGCCACAGCGGCCGCTACACCTGCACGGCCACCAACACCCACGGCAGCGACAGCGTCACCTACCACCTCAGTGTCATCAGTGAGTGATGGTGTACTAGGTCACCTACCACCTCTTTGTCATCAGCGATTGATCATACGCGGAGGCCTCTACTCCTGCAGGATGATTCTTGAGTTTCGACATTGTGGGTCAACCACTCACAATCACAAAGCTCTATCAATCTTCTCTCTTCCTTCATTCAGCTGGCAAGAAAATCTCGCCGCGAAAGTTTGCGATTTTGGCTTCCAAACAACTTTTTATATCCAATCACGATCATTGAACCGATTATGTTCAAATAAAGGTGTATCAACGCACCTCCCTTCTTTGTTCTCATCAGATGGACTGCCAAAGTGCAGTGAAATCAATCTCTTGTTCCAGCATTTTTTCTTTTCGCGGTCCACCTTCACGTTTTTTATTATCTAAAGTGTGAACGACGTTTCGTTCTAGCCAGTCCAGTGCATACTTCGTTGCCGTCAGCCCAACATGGACATAAATCTGAAAACTTGCGAATTTTGTCATCTCTACAACTACCACTACAAACATTGATGTCATCTCAGTGTTAGAGAAACAACACATCATGATCCGAGTTCGGTTGAGATCATTAAATCCGATTTAAAAAGATATTTATTTGCTTATGCTGTTTTATATTCTCGATGATTGAAATTTTCTCAAAAGTTTTCAATAATCGTCACTTATGAAGATTTGACGTCTGCCAGCTCACCGACATGCTACGCGGTAGTGAATCCTCTACCGCTTGACATGAGTAACCGAAGCAATATTGTCACAAGCCTACTTCATAAAAAGTATACGTTCTAGTGAGCGCAAAATACCTTACACTGATGGTTGCCACCACATACAACAACTTTAAAATGTTCTTTGTTGCGTACAAACGTCCTCAGGTTGCTATACCTAATAGTTTTAATGTTTAAGTTGAATGTTTAAGTTGAAATGTTTAAGTTTAAGTTGAAAGTTATATTCACGGAGAGTGACATACGGCGGTTGAGGGATGAATTACCTTCTTGTCCGCAGTGCCGCCTTCGCCGCCCCTGCTGCACGTGACGGACACGACGACGTCCTCTGTGCGCCTCCAGTGGACGGTGGACGACGACGGAGGGGCGCCCGTCCACGGCGCCACGCTCTATTATCGGTTAGAATTTCGAGTGACCAGCCTTGCTGTTAGTGGCTAATATCACTATTTCAAGGAGGAAGCCTTCCCGGAATATCCTTGACATTGTGTTGTAATTGCATCTTTTAAACGATGTTTCTTTCGTCCTTCAAATATTTGAAGGTCTATTTAACATCACAAAACGCATATTTAAATCACTCGTGTCTATGCATCGCAAAGGTGCCGTTTACCTACAAACTTCCACACATATTTACGCAACTCGACGTATTTGTGCAGAACTGTTGACTCAATTTGAGTGATTCAGCTATGATTTTTTTAATGGCCCTAATAATAAATAATAATATTACTACCAAACGCTTAAACATTTAATTACTTTTTTATACAACCACTATCTAACATATATAAGGTCCACAACCATCCTAGATTATTATTTTAAATTAACCCACAAGTTTGGTGCCATTTAAAAAGGTATCATAGACCTATCTTGAAAAAATTTTTATGAATATTTATTTTTGGTTAAGTTCATAAATCCCTTGTAATTTAGAAACTCACAATGTCTTTTAATTCTTCAAACGACATGAATGCAGTTTTCAGTTATTCAATAACTTCTTTATGGATATTTCTGTACATTCTGACAACGTCACCGTTAACCTCAATTTCCTGTATTTATTTCATTTCTACAAATTCTGACTCCATGAATAATTTATATCCATATTGAAAAGGGTAATCAATGTTGCATTCATTATACAGGCCATCCGGGGGTGCGACGGTTGAGGAAAAGATGAGTTCAACCCTTCACTCAGTGAAAAATCTACGGTGTGGGACGCTCTATCACTTCTTCGGCACCGTTTATAACGCAATTGGTGAGAGGTGAAGATAGTAATTCTTATTATTAGAGGAAAACTGCCTCTTCTGTTCCTAATATAAGTATCCATAGTGATTCCCGCATAAAAAGTGTTGTAATTATTATATGATCGTATTCTTAAATTATCTGAGTAAAGACAAAAAATAAACAGTTTGTGTATGATTTCCGCCTTCTAAAAATCTTGCCCCGACAGGCAGCAGTGAGTCATCAGAGGTGGTGGAGGCACGCACGAAGGGCCGCGCCCCTGAACCTCCCCCGCAGTTCCAGTTCATCACGAGCAACAGCACCCAAGCGACGCTCTACCTCACCCAGTGGGAACCACGGGTGAGTGTGACAGTGATGAATACATCACCCACTTCCTGGTGCAGTACCGCAAGCTGCACAGCGCGCACTGGACCACGGCCGTGAGTGTGGCAGTGATGAATACATCACCCACTTCCTGGTGCAGTACCGCAAGCTGCACAGCGCACACTGGAGTGAGTGTGATTAATAAATACGTCACCGAATAATTTTATGAATACTAACATACGATCGTCGTACTGATGTGTGATAATATTATTTCAATTCCTCTTATCATCGGACGCAAATATTTTCCATATATATTAATACGTTTCTTAATTTCCTCCTCTTTTTTGCCCTGGAGACACTTGAGAAAATAAAAAAAAAGCTCACTTCATCCAGTTTTGCTTTTTCTGGCGGGTTGAAGGCTTGCATTCAGTTCATGAAATCCAGTCATCGTCGTGAGACTGGTAAAATAGTAGCTTTCTGATATAAAAAAGTATTTCGAAATCTTCTTCCCAAAAATTTTTAATGATAGTGATTGAATCATAATATTGTCGTCATATTTTCCTTGCAACTCTTGAATAACCAGTGTTAAATTCATTAATTACCTCTACTGTGCAGTGAGCAGCGAGGTAATGGCAGCCAGAACGTTCGGAGTGGGAGGACTGCAGCCTGGCGAACGCTACGAGATCAGAGTTACTGCCTACAACTCTGCCGGAGCAACTCCAGCGCTCTACACCGTCACCACCGCTGCTCTGTACTCTGCAGGTGAGGCCTATAACTCTGCAGGAACAACGTCAGCGCTCAACACCGTCACCACCGCTGCCCTGCATTCTGCAGGTGAGGCTTAAAACTCTGCAGGTGCAACACCAGCGTTCTATACCATCACTACCGTCATTCCCGATGACGCTGCAGGATTGGGTGTGTTTGCCTAACGCTCTGTGTCTGTCTAACTTGGTGAGTGTTCCTTATTGTAAAAAATTACGAATCTTGCTTGTAATTGTTTTTTATTGGTCACGAAACTCAACTCGCTCCATCCCACTTAAGTCGTAAGATTGAGCCCACATATAAGTGGTGCACCGCATTTTATTTTTCTGTCGATCGTGTGGATTTGTACGTTCTTATTTCTTCGTGTTTACGATGTTCAATTCACAATTCATAAGCAATGTCCACTTTAACTGTATTTTATAAATCTTTGTTTGCAGTATTAATTGCACTAAATCAATATTCACAGACGAGCAGCAAATGCTGGGACGCGGGGACGGCTTCTGGACGCCGCCTCAAGACTCGTCCCGCGCCATGTCGTCCAGCGATGCGCGCTGGAGCAATCCTCGGCTGATCGTGCCGCTGATTTTGTCAGCGAGCACCTTATTGCTGACCTCCTTCTCGCTCTGCTACTTCTACCACAAAAGTAGGATTGCTATCATGTTTATCAGCAAGCACCTTATTGCTGACTTCCTTCTCGCTCTGCTACTTCTTCCACAAAAGTAGCGGGCTATTATTTTCTCAGCTTGCACCTTATTGCTGACCTTCTCGCTCTGCAACCTCTTCCACAGAAGTAGGATCGCAATCATTTTGTCAACATCACCTTATTGCTGACCTCCTTCTCGCTCTGCTACTTCTTCCATAAAAGTAGGATTGCAATCATTTTATCAACTGCACCTTATTGCTGACCTTCTCACTCTGCTACTTCTTCCACAGAAGTAGGATTGCAATCATTTTGTCAGCTAGCACTTTATTACTGACCTCCTTCTCGCTCTGCTACTTCTTCCACAGAAGTAGGATTGTTATAATATTTATCAGCAAGCACCTTATTGCTGACCTCCTTCTCGCTCTGCTACTTCTTCCACAGAAGTAGGATTGCTAGCATTTTGTCAGCTGCTCCTTATTGCTGACCTTCTTGCTCTGCTACTTCTTCCACAGAAGTAGGATTGCTATCATTTTTGCCAGCTTGCACTTTATTACTGACCTCCTTCTTGCTCCTCTGCTTTTTTCATAGAAGTATGATCAAAATAAATCTCTTACCTACATAATTCATACTTCTTGCTAGAAAAAAAACTCTCTCATTGTAATGATTTTGCTTTATGAAAAATACTATGCTTTAATTAAGTATTTATTTGCCAATTTATTTGAGAAGCAGCTTTTCAACCTCTTCCTTTACTATCTCCTAAAGACGTGCCGAATTAATGATTTTGCATTTCTTTCCGTTCATGTTTTTTACATTTGATACGTGTCACCAAATCAAGAAAATTAACCTTCTCGTTTTCTCCAGAGATTCTTACGCTCTCACTGAATTTTTGGAATAAAATTTCGTCCCAGTATTACCGTTACTCGGTGCTTACTTTGTTATTGAAAGTATGACAGTATTCTACTGCTTCTTTTATCTATTTTTCACTTCATCTCAAAATAGTATTGTTTAAAGCTGTGCCAGTCTCCTTCTAGGAAAGTATACCCTCCAAATCCTGGCTTTCTTTGTCCAGAACATGAGATAGAAAACAAATTGTTTTTTCCTTGACTAAACTAGAAAATAAGTCCTGAAATCTTTAATTCTAAAATTATCTGAACTATATAATGAAAAAGGGTCATCTTATTTGAACATATTTATCCTTCTTCGTCCAGGACGTTCGTTCAATGGGCGCGCAGATCACATCAGCGGCGACAAGAATAAATGCAACCCTGACGACCAGTTCATTCAACATCCCAATGAGGAGAACAAATGTATGAGGGGTTATCGAATTAGCTGGCGATTTAATTGGTTTGTAGTTTCTCCCCTATAGGATTGTAAGATATAGAAGTGTGGGAGATCAAGGTTTTTAGAGGGTTTATTTGCTTTGTGATAATTAGGTAAGGTAAGTAAGGAGTGCGAACAAGAATTAAGCATTAGAACATGACATGGGTTAAATAATCCATCATATCAGTTTACAATCCACGCAGAATTAGCGCTCGAGTCAAAAGTCATTATGATTTCCATAAATTCATAATCTGCATTTTAAATTCAAATCCACAAATTTTCAATTCAAGATAAATTTAAATTTAATTCATATTAAGTCTGACCAACTCATTTTTACATTTTATCAAAACAGTAATTTATGGGATTAACTTTCTATTTATTTCATCACAATACATCCTAATAATATTAATTACTCAATACTGCTCTGCCATCATAATATCAAGCTCTTCGAGATATAGGAACATTACTTTGATGCGCTGTTCAATTTCTTTCCTATGGATTTACAATTTTATTGTTAACCAAATCACGTTCACCAAAATCCAACCTAGTCCTTTTTGATCATTCGTGTTTCAATCAGTAACCCAAAATTAATCCATGTTTAACATTGCCTAAAGTTCTCAATTTAGTTTATCTCATCTCATTTGAACAATACTAATAAATTTTAATGACTCTTCAATATTAATTAATCAAACTGAATCAAAATCAATGATCCAATAATTATATGAATAAACAACTAATAATTTAATAATCAATAATCAATCAATATCAAATAATCAAAATCTAAATAGATTAAAATTTCAATACCTAATGAATCAACCCAGATTAATGAGTCTCCCAATTATGAATGACACAGCAATATCCTGAATTTTACCATGAATGAATACAGGGCAATAACGGTAGTGTTAGAACAATGGTAATGAATCGCCATACTCATTGACGTTAATTTTACTTGGGTAATTTTCAATAATCATTTTTAATAATATTTTGCCCTAATCAAGATGTAGTTACCTAAAGGAATTAATTCATCCTTTTTAATAGACTCAAAATATTAGAATAAGTGGTCCCTAGACCTAATTCTTCTTCATTTGAACTAGGAGGCTAAACAAGATCGGATCATCGGAGGTCTCACCCAGACTAGCCCCCAGACTAGGATTGACGGAACACATTTCCTAATTAATCAATAACTCCATTGAAAATACATGAATGCTAGAATAAACTCCACAGAACAATTACCTACAACAAGGTCACACCATTATTACTGATACTCAACCAGTGGAACAATTTAATGAATAGAACACGAACGAAAGAGAACACGAGCGCGTCTTGTGGGAGTCGAAAGGAGAGTGAGCGAGAATGTTGCCGAAGCGGCTTGGGTTGAATTCTCGTTTTGTTCTAGAACTACTCGTAAATTACAAAATTAAATAACTACTATTACCAAAGCTTAATACTATTAAAAAAATATCAGATCTTATAGGTATCAAAACTGGCTATGATTAACTGGCTTACAATGATGATTATTTTTATTTTAGTTTATTTGTTATGGCTATCGGCCAAGGTTCACGAACATCGTACATATTTACGGTATATAATATGCGACAAAGTACAGCTTTAACCTAATAATCTCAAAGGAATTAAAATAATCTGTCAGATAGGAGATTATACACTATAGGATATTATACTCAGCCATTACAAGTATTGCGCTTACCTTATGTGATAACCTGATAACTTCTTATTACAGCTGCTGGTAGTATTTTATCTCAACCTTCATTCAATAAAGTCATGGTTGACATTATTCGATTAACTGCTTTCTTAAATAAAATATAATATCAGAAAAAAGTTCTCTGGATTCATTGTGCTTCTACGTTACCTAGATTTGTTCATGCCATTTTATTTATGAAAAATTATATTATTGCTTCTTAAAAATCTGATTTTTCACAGTTAATCCCCTGACCGAGAACGTTTACCACTACGTCACGACCGGTTACCCGTTCTCTCAGCACGATACTGATGGGCATGAAGTAATAGATCGTGGACGAATCTCTCCTTCACAGAGGCACAACTCTGCAGCCTACAAATCTGCAGAGCACGAAAGTATTGCTCTGAAATTAGCCGAATCCCAAACTACAGAGCATGGAATTACGGCACTGAACTGTGCTGAATACAAATATGCAGAGCAAGTAAATACTGCACTGAACTCTGCAAGATACCCGCCTGCAGAGCAGTCAGGTATTGCTTTGACACAACGTCCTACATCTGAGGAAAACAGAACGTTTTCGTCCATACACTTTCATTCTTCGTCACTGCACGAAGTCGACGATGCCTCTTTGGTACGTGAGAATTTTAGCCATACCATAACCATAATTTTAACCATACTCTGGTACGCGAGAATTAACTATACCTTAGTTGAAGCAAAGTCGCCTGCACAAATAAAATGTTGCATGATGTGATGGACACCATTTTATATCTAATAATTCCATTTTTGTTATCCATTCAGATTTTAAGTGCATATCTGCAAAGTCAGAAAGAGTCAAAATTATGAAAGAAACAGTTTGAATCCCTCTGAATAAATCTTTCCTCTGCAATATATAATTTTTTGTAAGTAAAATATCTTAAACATCGAAATCTTTGAGTGAGAGAGTAGTATTCAATTTAATGAATAAAGTAATTTTAAATTTTAGCGTCGTGTATAAAACATAAAATCAGACCAGACCTTCCAAACAAAAAAAATTAGACCAGACCTTCCGTATGCCTTTATATAGAGTCACATCATTTCTAAAATCTATTAGGCGGTACATTAGCTTAATGTTAATACCTAGTTTTTTTTTAATTCGTGCTTTAAAATATGAAATACACAATTTTCTCTTATGTCATACCTTGGTTTTCAGACGAGCGCCTACACTGAGTTGGGCACTATACCCGCTGAAGACACAAAGTTCGTCTCTGTATCAGACAGAAAACTCGGGCAGGCGGGACCTGGCATTCATCAGCATCAGCGGACGCAACAAAACCTGGCTCAGGTGTGCCATAAGCCACTAACGGTGCTGCAAAAACCTGGCAACGTCACATCCCGACCTCGGCAAAAACATCAGAGGTTCAAACACGAAGAAAGGGAAGATGTTAGTCCTTATCCTCTTGATCGAAGTATGACATCTTTTCATTAGATATATTAGCTTTTTGTTATCAATATTTTTTCTATTTCGTTAATTAGAGGGAAAATTGGAGAAACTATTTCTAATGTTCATTTATACTAGTTCCCTAATATATACTTTGAGACTTCATAATAATATTTTTGACCTATTTTAGAACATCCACATTGTACAAAACCAACTTATGTTCCAAAATCTCTTAGAAAAATCTTATCACCAGTGCTGTCCAATTTAAACTTTTGACTTTCAGTTTCCAGCATTCGAAACTGCATTTCTACGCCCAAATTATTCGGAAGCAATCATTATTTTGGAGTCACTGAAAGTTATTAATCTGAGGAGCAACCTTTCAAACAGTATAGCTGCGTGTTTCTACATTACATTACCAAAGCCATCCCTTAACCTTCTTCAGTGCTATTCGTACCTAAATGACTGGTAATTTGAGTTACCGTCAATAAACAAAGATTTAAGTTATATGAACATTTCATTACAAATTTTCTTTTAAAATCTTACGTTTTCATTAGGAAGATTTATATTTTTTGTCGCTACTCAGCAGTTCGACATTCTTCGCGTCATGTATTCGATAATAATGTCTATGTTTCCGAAGCATCAAAAAATTTCTATCTAACTATACTCCTCGTGGCTGGGATAACAATACGAGGCTCATATTTTACAACATAAAGTCATGCAAGGTCCAATGCAAACTATGAAATGTATATATAATCATATAATAGTTTTGTTAATACCTTGATTGAGGATTGTTACTGATGCTCTTCGTTCGGCCATTCTGAAATTAATGATTCACAGACTTAGTTTTCTTGACGTACAATTAGTTGGTAGACTTGTTGCCGAATTTAAATTGATTATATAACTGATTGATCATTAATTTTTATTATTTAAAACGAAATTTGATCGTGAATTTTTACATGGCTATAATGAATGTGTACGTTCACTTAAATGGGCAGAGAATGTGCATTGATGTTACTCTCCCTCCAGCTGTTATGACCAAATATTAGAACATCAATGAACTGCTTAAGAGTAATGAGGAACATTATTCGAACTTGAGCGATTATTAATTTTTTGTGAGCATTGAGCAAATTCAATCAGGGTACTTACATCCCAACGAGCCATAGATTCCGTCTATCTTTATCAAATGTGAAGGCGATTGTAAGTTACTGAATAAGTGACAAATTACGCGTCAATATTTATTTATAAATATATATAGCATTCTGTTTGTCTTTAATAAGGTTGTGGTGCTAGGATACACCAGAGTAGGAGCTGGCGCCACGAGTCAACCAGCGAGCATCGTTGTCTCAGATACGAGTGAGTACTCTGATTGAACCCATGGTTGAATTAATACAGTATTAATTCAACCATGGATTGAACCGATGTGTTTTCGCCTTTCATTGAGTGATATTGAAAGTTCTTTACCGGTTAAGCGTAAGTGATATATATCATGCATCGAATTAAGCTACAAATCACCATAAAATATATCAGATGTATTGCGTTCAATGGCTGTCCCAAGTACATGAAAGTCTCAAGCGCGAGAAACAGACGCCTCACAGGTCCCCATCCAACATAGTCATTAAATCCGCCCGCAAAACACCAGTTTCAACGTCTACAGTAAAATGAGGCGCGGGATTTTGACTTCAGGGAAGAATGGCAAATAAAAAGTCATATCTGAGGCTACGATTTTGATGTAAATTTAATGTAAGTTTGATGTAAAACACAAAGTATTTCGAATATTAATAATTATTTCTAATCTTGGCAATGTCTTGACTCTATTTTCTTTTCATTTCACAGCGTATGGTGGTGAATGAATGTGACTGTTCATGGAAAGCACAAAATTGTTTGAGTGGCCCTAAACTTTCGAACGGTAGTGTATCCGAAATTCAGGAATGACGACGATGATACTAATATTGTATTTCACGAGTATATATTTAAGAGTCCTCAATCTGTCGATTTACAAAAGGGAAGAATTTTTATCAACTTATCGTGTTATATCTTGGTAAATGAAGCTCGTGAACACCAGCAGACTTTTTGTAAAATTAGTGTATACTTGAAATTTCATTAATACGTGTTTCAGCAACTTGTCTCGCTCAGCGAAAATTTTTACTCAAAAAAGAGGCTTGTTATATTTTTTGCTCACAACTGTTCGAAATTGTTTCTAAAAAACAACAAGACGCTCACAATTGTTGAAAATTTATTTTCTACTCTACTTGTTTACGAAAGTGACGGCATTTTTACTCGAAGGGCTTCCTCTTTACTCATCCGTTAAGCCTGTTTGCGTCCCAGCTCCGCGACAGCAGTCGAGGCAGATCGGTCCACACCATACCATAAAAATATCAGTTGGTGATATCGTATTAGATGATAACGAAAAGTTTAACACCCATTATCTTGGCAACCATTGTTTGAATAGCTACGATAATATATTCACTTCTAACCTATTTTTATTTGCCATTCATCTGATTCTGAAAACTTGTGGTCCGTGGATTACTCAACAGTTTTGGTAAAAGAACGGAATGAAATGAGGTGTAGGGCATTCAATGCAGGTAATAATTGCTTTTAAAACGTGTTTACAGGGAATCAGTTTTGTGCGAGTAGTATGTGGATTCAGCATAGACAACTTTTACATTCATGATCATCACAGCACGTGTCTCTACCACAGCGCTCTGCCTTGCTTTTTCTGCTTCCTTTTCTTTTGCAGGCAGCATGCTATCCTTGTGTAAGGTCTAAAGCTTTATGCGCAAAAATGGGCAATAACACAGCAACACCGATGACACTGATCATTCCTAGATCAGAAAAATTCTAAACTACAAGATAATAGAAAAATCAAATTTTTTAGATCACGAAAAATTGACGTCATTGCAAGGAATTCCCAACTTAACGGCATCATTTCAACTTCCCAACTGCAAAGAAAGTTATCCTTCTTTTCATTGTTTGCACCTGTGTGGGTCAGTCAATCGGAAGGAGATTAAGTATATATACCCGCAAACCGTTTGTCTCAAGATCAAATTTTAATTTTTTATCTTTAATTCATTTGGCAAATGAATTCATGACACATGTCTCATTAATGTTTTTCTCTGATAAAAACAAAAAAAAACAAAGCAACAGATAAAAATATCGAATATTCGTAGTGACAAGCAGCATCTTACTTCATGACCTGCGTAGCCAAATTATTCCATGGCTGCCTTAAGTAAACCAGAAGCAAACATTTAAGCGAGCGTTGATATCTCACGCGCCGTCGTGCTGGGCGCTGGGCAGCATTCCAGTTGCAGGAGGCGAGTGAGGCGATACCGCGGCGGCACCTGCAAAAGGTTCCTTGATGACGCAATTCCATCACGCGGTGTCCGCGACATGCTCCAATAAACGGGCTGTAAAACCGGCGGGACGAGCGGCTAAAATAGCTGTTGGTGAACTGCGGGTGGTGAATGCAGGTATTAGTTGGCGACCCGGCGTTAGGTGTTGCAACGCTTGCAGCAGTTGCTGGAACTGCTGGTGGGGAACGCAAGTAGCAGTTGCTGAAACGCTTGCGGTGAACGCAAGCAACGGTTGGTGAACTACGGGTGGTGAACTCAAGCAACAGTTGGTGAAGTGCGGGTGATAAACCCAAGTAGCAGTTGGTGAACTGCGGCTGGTGCATGCTATTAAGTAGCAGTTGCTGAAACTGTGGTGGTAAACGAAAGTAGCAGTTAGTGAACAGCCGGGGGTGAACGCAGGAAACAATTGATGAACTGCGGATTGCGATCGCTATTAAGTAGCAGTAGCTGAAACAGTGGTGGTGAACGAAAGTAGCAGTTAGTGAACAGCTGGGGGTGAACGCAGGTAACAATTGGTGAATTGCGGATTATGATCGCTATTAAGTAGCAGTTGCTGAAACTGCGGGTGATGAACGCAAGTAACAGTGGCTGGAACCGTAGATGGTGAACGCAAGTGGCAGTTGCTGGAGTCACAGGTGGTGAACGCAAGTAGAAGTTGGTGAAGCTGCTGCCTGGGGAGACAACTCAATTACTGTTGATTGATCTGTCGCGAATAGCCTCGCGTATAAACAGTTACATATATAAACAGTTCCGATACCTAAAATGCAGTTACTTGAAATGCAAGTGGATTTGAATAGCATTTCCTATGAAGTTGTAGAACTGGTAACTTACTGTCGCGCCCACCTCATTCGGCTGTGCGGGCTCACGCCGAGCAGTGCAATGTTCCAGTTTCTGACAGTGACTTCAAAGTTTTAGCTTCCAGTTCCCGTGTTTCTGATTTGCGCATTTTGGAATCATTGTATATTTTTAAACAGAGGCCTAGTTTGAATTTAGCTTTTAGCTCTTACCCGCTTGAAATTGTAAATAGGTAGGTTTTGCAGCTTAGGTTTTTTATTGTTATCTTGACTGTACTAATTACTGATTTATCTGTGTTCTAGAATTTTCGAACTGACGATGGAGCTGGACTCCGAAACGGTTTCTTCAAAGATACTATCAATATATCTTGAGTTTTCTTTGCTTTTAAGTTTTTAGTAAAAATGATAACTATACAGGAAATTAAATTATTTAAACTACATGTTCCCCAAAGTTTCCAATACCATTTTAGCACAAGTTTTCTGTTCGGAAAACATGCCGCAGATATACTTGCATGAGCAAGTTATTACGCACAAAATAGAGAGTATTATATGATCCAATGAAATGTGAAAGGTATCATCAGAGGTAGTAAAAAGATACGCATGCTCGTCGTAGGAAAGTTCGCGCTGAGATATTCTTT